CCCCTCTCTGTTTCTCCTCCAAGGCCAACGAGTTTAAGCCTGGACCTTTCTAAAAACACTGCAGAAAAAGTCAAGCCCACCTCTCCAAAGGTGTATCTGTACATCCAGATGCAGCTGTGCCGGAAAGAGAACCTTAAAGACTGGATGAGCAGAAGATGCACCATAGAGGAGAGGGAAAGGACAGAGTGTCTGCAGATCTTTCTGCAGATTGCTGAAGCTGTTGACTTTCTGCACAGCAAAGGATTAATGCACAGGGATCTCAAGGTTTGTATCCATAGGTTGCTGTATGTGGGAGGAATGTGGCACTGCAGGCAAAGCCTGCCAAAATAGCTGACTCCTCTCAGTGACCTCAGCATGGGTGTTAAAAAAGCTGAATTAATTTCTGTACAATAATCTGGAGGTGCAGTGCTCCAGGAAATAAATATTCGTCACTTGTTACTGCAATTAAAGTCTTTCTTACAGCAAGACTTCTTGTACCTGGCACAGATCAGTGGCATTTGTCCTGTGGTATTTTTAATTCATGTTCTTTGTACAGGGTTGTTCAGTGCTGAGCTGTATGACAAAGCTATTTTGGATCCTGTTCTACTATTTCAAGTGAAGCAGATAATTGGCAGTGTGGAGCTTGCAGTTGGACTTATCTTAAAAGTCTTTTCCAACCTAAATAATTCTGTTATTCTAATTCTGGTATTTTCCTTCTTTCTATAGCAATACAGCCTAAAATGATCAGTGTTACTCTTGGTTAGAGAAAGTAAAAATTAAGCAGTACTTCTCTGGGATTGAAATGTAAACTGTTCTGGAGCAGAATTGTGAGCCAATGCCAGCTATCACAATGAAGTTTTCTGAAGGATGCACAGCATTTTTAATGTCTTACAGCATCCAGACAGTGAGGACTGGGAAAGGTGGTTTGCACCTCTGGTGTTTAGTGTAACTGAAGTCAGGAGTAACTTGTACATTTTCTTTCATTTTATTTGTGATCCTCCTGTGCTAGTGCCTGATTTTGCTGCAACTTAAAGCACTGGAAGTGTCAGTATGTGTTACCAAATAAATAAATGTAATTGATGAGCCCAGCCAGAGTTAGTTTTATTAGGTTTAGGTCTGAGAAATTGATCCCTTTGGCCAAATGTGGACAGTTCTGTTTCTCTTTGCTAGTTTGAGGAGGCATTAGTAGCCTGCCTCAGTGGGGTAATTACTGAAATGATTGTGGCTTCTCAGATGGTAATTTGGCATCAGCAGAAGCAAAAGATAAAAAATACCATGTCAGATGTGGCAGTAAAAGGAGGTTCAAATTAAATAATCCTCAAAGGATATGTCAGAGTTAGAAAAACTCGTGAGCCCTTCCAAGTATTTTCTTTTCCCATCAGCATTAGGCAATTACCTTGAACCAGTTATCTGACAAATCTTTAGTGCTTGAGAAACTGACCATAAAAGTAATTAAACCCCTGTACTAATACATTGCTAGACATGTTAATTAATAACCTTTCTTAACAATACTGTCAGGTGTAGCCCTCTGCAGTTTTCACTGAGCTCAATGTTCAGTAAACCTTACCTAGATCTTCACTTAAAAATGTATTAGTCTTAATCAGCAGGTGTGGACTGTTTTGTTGGAACATCTTAAAAGTTCAGTGCTGGCAGCAGTTTGAACAAGAGATTTAATTTTGTTTACTTGGTATAACCAACTTGGAAACAATCTCCCTGGATGAACACCTTCCTCCTTCAGGAAACTTTCTATGCTTGTATAGATGTTATTCTTGGATCCCAGAGTTTATTTGTCTGTTATGTGTTAATTTGGTCAAAACAACAGCCAGTTGATTTAATTATTTTCTATACTTTTCAGAAGCTCCTAGGAAGAGATCTCATCTAATTTTGTAATTTGTCCAAGAGGTTGGTCATGCAGCCCTGAGTTGGTGCCAGCACTAACAACTGAATAACTGCAGAGTTGCTTTGGCTTGGCTGCAGGCAGAGCTCAGTGATAGCAGAGGCCAGTTCTTGCTCCCAACAAAAGCTGGTAGATCTATGTGAAAATAAATTTCTATATGGGCATATTAAAATTTCCAATAATTAATCTAAATATTTAAATTAACAGTGCACATTAAAAATGCATTAATTAGGCTCCTGCTAATCAGGGATACTGCAGTGACAAGATGGTAGGAATTTATGTGGGCAAATGAAGGTCAAAGTTCAAATTCTTTTGAAGAAAATGAAGTGCAGAAACAAAAGTCTGCCTGTCAAGTGAATTTACTGTTATTCCTAGGATAAGCTGTCGGTCATGCTTGGCAGCTCAAAAGAAATTATCAGTTTCACAGAACTGCAAGAACAGGCTTGGATACATTTGCAGCATTAATTGAATTAAACAGAGTATTCCAGATGTGTGAGAAGCTTCTTCATGTGGAAAAATGAGAATACTTTTTCTAACTGAGGAATATGGAGAGAAATTTCTTTGTGCAGGTGGCAAGATAACTAAACTAGAGGGTGGTTATATTTGATTGTACTCTGCTGATGATTTAAATCGAAACTGTGTGCTTCTGCCTTAGGCTTTTTCTTCTCCCAAATGTGGTCTTGGTGGTTTCTTTTTGCTGGTATTTTGCAATAGCAGAGAGTCCATTCCCCGTATTTGTAGAAAGTATGTGCAAGGCTGTTCAGAGGCAGTGTGTGTCCAGCCAGAGAGGTATTAAAATAAACTTTCTGTTACAAGGAGTTTTTCCCCAGGAAGCAAGACAAATCTTGCCTTGTATGTTCGTTGGAGGAGAAAGGAGATAAGGCAGTGGGATACAAACTCTTAATGGAGATGTTTATTCCTTGAGCATTAAAATACTGAGATCAAGGCTTCTGCCTCTGTGGGTGTGCACTGAGGGTGGGTGCTCTGCAAATGCTTCAGCCAGAGCCTGAAGACACTGTGGGTTTACAGGGCAGTGGCTTTTGTGCCCTGAAGGCACTGTGACTCCAAAGGGCTGGACACCCATTACAGGGAAACACAGTGATACAGGGATAAGAGCTGGCTCAGGAGGCAGAGGCAGGTGTGGGCACTGTGGAACTGTTTCTCTAGTGCTTCCCTCAGAGCTGGCCATTGCCTAAAAAAAAACCAACAACCAAGAAGAAGAATCCTTTTGTCTGTCTTGTTTCTTGTGCATACAGTGGGTTTGCCTTTAACTGAGGAAGTCAGATGGACTTTGAAACGCAGTCCTTTATCTTGTGGGAAAATATTGCCTTCTATCTGTCTGCCTGCTGCTGTTGCAGGGTTTATGTCAGCAGAGCACAGACCATGTTCTCCCAGCCTCAAGGGCCCAGGAGCTCTGAGAGGAGCTTGCCCAGCACCACCTGCCTCTTCACAGCTTTCCCTGTACAGCATCCTGCTGCTTCCTTCCCCTTGCAGGATCAGTCTGTTCTTCCCCCCAAACTCTGTGTCTGTATTTGTAACCCAGCTGGAGTGGTTATATTTCAAGGGAATAATCATTCTTTTGGTGCGTGCTGTTCTATCAGCCAGGAAGCAGATTTCTTGAAAAACTCTCTTGGATGTGCACCATTGGCCAAGGGACAGCTCTGTTCCAGTCTCTTTTATCAATAGGCTAAGCCAAGGATTGGAGGTGTGTGGCAAACAAGCTAAAGGAGAGTTAAGCCAGATCATCACTGTTGCTGCCTTTATGAATTGCAAAGTTCTTAGGTTTCTATCAAAAGTAAACTTTTAATTCTGTTATGCAAACAGCTGTTCCCACATTAAACTGCACAGTTGCACTGAAAATCAGCCCTTGTTCCCACTGTATCTGTAATTTAACACTGAGATGATGTGCTGTGTGCTGGTTAGTAATACAGCAAATTACTTTAGCACTTGGGGATTAAAATACCCAAGCCCAGGAGATGGCACTGCAGCATGTGGTGTCAAAGTGTCATGTGGGCTGGGTAACTTTCCTGTGCTGTTCCCAGCAGTGTTGACTCTGTGTGTGTTCCTCAGCAGAGCTGTGTGCTGCTGGTAAACTCTGCTGAATGACAAGAAATGAGCAGTCTGAGCTTCAGGAAAAGACAGTGGATAATGCAGGAGTAATTCCTTTTACTGAATAGTTACAATTCTTAACTGCTATTCTTCAGCACTTTTATGAGTGTTTTTAACCTTGACAGCTTCTGAGTTAGAACCAAGTGCTATAACCACTGAAATACAGTCACTTTTTTACTTACTTTCTTTTCTTTTCACCTCTTTGTTTTCTCAGCCTTCCAATATATTTTTCACAATGGATGACATAGTAAAGGTTGGGGATTTTGGACTGGTGACTGCTATGGACCAAGATGAGGAGGAGGAATCAGTTCTGACCCCAATGCCAGCTTATGCCAGGCACACAGGACAAGTAGGGACCAAACTCTACATGAGCCCGGAACAGGTTTGTGCTCTCTTCTCCAAAGCTGTGCTTGGCAGTGCCTGGAAGAGCCCTGAATTTTTGGGAGCTCTAAGATCAGGCATTCCTAGTAAACCATTTGCAATCACATCACTTAAACTCTTTCTCATCAAAATAGAGTTTTGACCTAAATTGAATTCCAAAACTAATATTCAAATGTATATATTTGTTATAGCAAAAACAGTGGCCAGTTATTCAGACTGAATGTGCTCATTTGTCTTGTTTTTAATGCAGTATAGGAAGGTAACTGTAAAAGATTCCACTTAATTGAGGAAAAACACACTCTTGTGCATGAGGTTAAGCACAGTGAAACATTTTGCTTTGCAGCACAGAGGAGCTGAGGATCAGAACCTTGCTCCCTGGTGCTCATTGCTGAAGTTCACCAACAGAACTTCCAGCTCTGCACAGGGCTGGTGACTTGCACAGGTGAACTTGCAAGGGTGCTGTTTACTTTGTAGATAATTGCAGGCAGCAGCTTGATTGCCCTGACCCTGACTTTGCCTTCTCAGATCTGTGGCAACACCTATTCGCACAAGGTGGATATCTTCTCCCTGGGACTGATTCTCTTTGAGCTGCTCTACCCCTTCAGCACACAGATGGAGAGGGTCAAGGTACGTGTGGTGTTGGGTTATCTTCAGTTTGAGCATTTGTTTGAAAAAGCTGTTTGCTTGGTGAAACACTGGCAAGAGGTTCCTGTCCTGTTTTCTTTGGAGAAAAGCCTTGCAGCTAGGAGCACAGCTTCTTTATCAGCCTTGTACAGACCCCCTGAATCACTGAAAATAAACTGCAGTCTTCCTAATGTGTGTGGTTGAATTGAGGCTTTAATTTCTTGACAAAGCTCCTCTGTTGTGAAGCCAAGTAAGAGAAACTATTGAACTACAATATCCAAGAGCTCAAGCAATAAATATAGCTTGTGACTTTAAGCCTACCAGCTTGGTTTTCATTCAAGAATTGGAACCATGCTGTGCATTTTGATTATTTCTTCCTTCTTTTGCAACTGCAGTGCTTTTTCACCCAGAGCACTTGGTGAAAAATGACTGTTCCTTTTCCTATAGTGAGTCTTAGCTGTGAGTTTCATTCAGCTTCAAGCATAATCTTCCCATAACTGCTGACATTCATTGCAGCAGATGTGAATTTGGGATGTTTGATGGTGCATTACAGCTCTTGCTTGCTGTTAAAATGTGAGATCCATCTTGCTCAGGAGCAAGTTCATGGAGAACAGGGGCTACAGCCAGAAAGGTCTCTCCTCTGTGACAACCAGTGACCTGTTTAGGAAAGAAAGAGTCATTAAAACTTGTATTTATTATTTGAATGTGCTTGGGGGTGTTACATTCTCAGGTGAAGATGGAGTGGGTTTAGCAGAGAGAACAGCAGCCTGACCAAGTGCTTCATCTGTTGCATTCTCTTGATTAAGATACTCTGGCTTTTCATGGCACAAAGAGTACAGTCTAGAGGATGAATTGGTGTTTAATTTGAACCTCTGGCACTGAAATCAGTTTCAATTTCTCTTAAATCAGTTTTACTGAAATAAAATACCTGGGAAAGAGCCATCCTGGATTCTCAGATCTCTTGCAGCAGTGATTACAGGCTTTACCCTTCCGGTTTCTTTCCTAAGAAGAGAAGCAAAGCAAGTAATCAGAATGAAACCTAAATTCCATCTAATTTGAATTTTTACTTGAAGAGAGTGTTAAAAGAGTGCCTTGACTTTCCAGGATTTTCACTGTCATTTCACTCTTTTTGCTAAAAAGGAACCCCTGCCCTTTCATTGTTGGATTCTAGAGTTTGGCTACTTCAGGAGTTATTTCTCAGTTGTTACACTGAGGTTTTCATTGGCATCAGCCAAGCATTAGCACTGCTTGCTGAAGCAAAACATGCTTTGCCTGACCAAGTAACCCAGCAAATTCTAGGAATTTGTGACAACTGGCTGGAAAAATCCCCAGAGGTGGAGCGTGAGAGCTGCCTCTGTCTCAAGCTGTGAGCAGTTAGTCAGTAGCAGTGCAATTTATTTCCAGGTGACATGCTGTAAAACAGATCACTAAATGCAGACTGAACTGACAGAAAAGGAGAAAAGTTTTCTGAAGCATTTTAATGTCATCAAACTCAGTTTTCTTGAACGGGAGTTTGGCTGTTGCCCATCACTACTAACTGGTCACTTTATACTTCCAATGGAGTAATAGTGAAATGAATTTTGATTTAACTTCAGAACTCTTGTATTTTGTGCTCAAACTTCTGTAAAAAGAGATCCTTCCAAGAAAATTGAAATGCTTAAATACTGAATATGGGAAAAACACTGTCACTAGATGGAGCCAGTGGTCTTTGTATGAAAGGAGCACACAAATACCCAACACAACTGCTTTCCAAACTGCTGATAAATCTTCTCATTCCTCCTTAAATGTTAAACAAAGACAGGTGCTTACATTGGTAATGCAGAGACAAGCCTTTCATGTGTCTTAATAGTAGTGTAGGCCAGTTATGGGCGGTGCACAGATTTGTTGATTTTGTTCAGCTAAAGTGAGAAAGTACAAGTTCATGTATCTGACTGATTTAAAACTGCAGAGATCACAATTCTTGTAGAACAACTGCTCCTGTTGCAGGCTCAGTACCTAGGGAAGCAGCAACTCACCAATGCACTAAAGCAGCACTTTAAAACAAAGGGTTTTCTTTCCAGCAGGCTGATTTCTTTGCATGATTTGCATATTTTTGAAGTACATAGGATGATATTACTAAGGAATGATATTTTGGAAAAGTTACATGTCGTTGTTCATGTTTTTGCAGACCTTAAGTGATGTTAGAAATTTGAAGTTTCCACCATTGTTCACTCAGAAATATGCACAAGAGGTATGTACAGCTGATGCTATTAATTATAGCCTTTTCATTAATAATTGTAGCTTTTTTCCTTTGCTTTCCAATTGCTTTGCAGGTAAAAATGTAGAAACCAGGTTGCTTTCATGTTATTAAGATGCATTTCTCTATCCCAGTACTTCTCTACATTTCAAAGCTATAACATTGCAATAATGGGCACGATGACACTTCTGTCACAGTTTTCCTCCAGGAATACATTTTTACCTGGCTTCCCTTTGTCACTTACAGTCATTCATTTCACATACATCCTGTCATGATTTCCTGCAACAAATCCATATTCCCAAAGAGAAAGTGCAAGACTTGAGACAGGTAAAGGAGAGGCTCTAGGTAGCACCATGGCTGTATGGGATCCCCTCCAGAACTGCACCTCCCAAGAGGGAAATCACATGAGCAAATTGTGCTGTGTTCTCATTAGTCAGGTCTGTAAAGTGATGTGGTTGTAGCTAAAGAGGAGGTGATGTACAAAACCTCCCCAGTAAAAAGCTGAGGTGCTTTCAGGTGTTCAGGGTAGCTTCAGACCAGTGGCCAGGTGAGAGCAGCCTTTCCTGCTTTACAGCTGAAAGCTGCCTGGGAGGAGGGGCTGTGCTGTGCTCAGCAGGAGCAGGACACTAATTCTGATTAAATTTGAAACAAATATTCAAACTACTTGTATATTTAAAGGAAAAATTCTAATTTGCCACTAGAGAAATTCAGTGTAGCTAAATGTGTGATGGCTAAACATGAATCTAAGAGTTACATATAAATTATGTATCATACATTTAATTTTGATTGCAAATAATGTGAAGTTTTTTATATCTCTATTAAACCTTGAGTCCAATGACAATAAAGTCACTTTAAGAGATGCACAGTGATACATTTTAAAATATTTAGTGCACATCTAACTGCTGAGTCAAATAACACCCCCAGCTGCTTTCTGAGTTATTTGGCTATTTTCCATTGGTTCACATAATATGTGTCATGTTTTCTTTCAGTACACCATGGTGAAGGACATGCTCTCTCCAAGTCCCACTGAACGACCAGAGGCTGCAGCAATCATAGAAAATCCTGTCTTTGAAGACTTGGAGCTCCCACCCAAGCCTGTGCTCAGGCAGAGGTCACGGACAATGAGCCTATCAGGAAATAAACATTCCAGACAACCAAGCAAATAACTATCCTCAGGATCACTTCTTCCACTCGGCAGGTTTCACAGGGATTGTTCAGCAGAAGGATCCTATGATGCAGAATGTTCATCTTGGGAATAGTTTACTTCAGCTTTTTTTGCCATGTTTAATGTGTAAGACGTGTTGGACAGATTTTTGTTTACTTTGACAGCCAATGAAGCCCAGTAACCAAACCTTTCACATTCCATTTTCCTTACCTTTGCTCTCCTAAGCGGACGGGTCCAGCTGCTGTGCTTGCCAATATTGTGCTCCATTTTCCTTTTTTTTGTGGGGGGTGTCTTGGGTTTTCTTGAAGCTTGTAAATGTCAGCTTGCTGGGTGAGTGAGAGATCTGTAACATGTAAATAGAATTAAAATACTGTATTTTTATAGAGCAAATTACAGTCTCTAAGCCTAGTGAGTGTCTATCTGGGTCACTTGCTCTTTGGTGAAATGAAGATGATTTTGAAATTAACTTTGACTCCATTTTTGTCCCTGGTGGGTAAACTGGGAATCTGCACTATTTTTAAAGCAAAAAAGTACCACAGTTGTACATATTGTCATTGTCCATAGCCTGTCATTAGAGGAAATAATTTCATATTTCTGCACTACAGTAGATCTTAGGGAATGCATCTTACACAGATGAAGCTGTAGAGAAGGAAAAGGAGCTTTTTGCCATTAAATGGGGGGTTTTATAGGCAGTGGTTGGAAGAGCCATAGTCAAAATTATGTGCAAAAATGTTGTGGTTCTGAAAATTTAAACCTAATGAAGTCATACATGTCGTATGTAATCTTGTAGATTTGTACTTTTTAAAAAAAATCAACTGGTAGGCATTTGTGTAATCTGCTAATTTAACTGCCTAATGCCATGCTTTTATTTCTCACTGTAAATATGTTAATTTTTATTTATAAAATACAGAATCAATCCATTTGGGTTGGTGGTGTACAGGATGCACTTGCTGTAATTGTTGAGTGCATTGATTATTGTGACTTCTTTCAAGTCTAAATGATTTAATAAACTTTTTTTATTTATAAGACAAAATAGTAGTTGCTTCTGTTGGAAGCCTGCATCGGTGTGTGCTGCAGATGGCAGCCCTGTGCAGTGGGAACAGGATGGGCTCTGCATTCCTGAAACTTCCTTTACTTCCCTGTCTCACACTGGCCACAGCGTGTGTGATGACGCAAAACCCAATGTGCTGCTTGGAAGTGAGACAGAATCTGGAGAAAGAAGGGAATTGAGCTCTAAACTGGCTGGATTATAGATGCAATTGCTCACCAGAGAGAGGAGAAGGGATAATTCTTATGCTGTTAGAGCTGTTCTTGTACAATTTTATTTTTCTGTTTTACAGACTTAAATTTGTTAAAGTCTCTGAGATCAGTTTCTTAAAAACATACTGAACTCAGATCCTTCTGGGGATTACTCTACTGTGGTGTGACACTGTGACCAGCAATGAAACCAGCTGACACCCTGCAGCTTTGTGATAAGGCAGTAGATTACAATGATTGTCTTCCATGTCCTCTTGGATAACTCTCCCAGATACTGGCTTGTCCAGGTGAAACCAGAATGCTGCAGTGAGTGTCTCATCAGGAACAGAATTTGTGTTTAGCTGGGTTAAAGCAGGAGAGTTAAGTGTGTCCTCTTCCCTTGGCTGTCCCTGTTTGCATCAGCTGCAGCTGCACAGTGAAATGGCCACGTGTGGAGCCTCTCTGCCCTCCCTGCCAGCTCAGGGATCACAGGTGGAGCACGGCAAATGAGGATTAAGATATTTCTGACTTGCTGTGGATGTGGATGTGGGTAGCTGCCTATTCCAAGGGCCCTGCAGCATTTCAGTACCAGACGTGGCATATGTGTTCACACCAGGTGTGCCTGCATATTCTGGGGTGTTAATTTGCCCTCAGAGGGGTGGATGAGTCCTCCCTTGTGGGGACTCTGCCCAGCCACAAAAGCATCTGGCCATGCTCAGCTCTGAACTGCTTGGTCAGTCTTTGCTTCTCTCAGCACTGGAGTGTGTTGTCCCTGTCTTTGTCCCCTATTGCTCCAGGGTTTGACAGAGGAAGGCTCTTCTCTAACCTGGGAGGGTTTCCTCTGAATGATGTGTACCTTTTGTGGAAGAACACCCAAACTGGAATAGCTTTGAGCTCACAGCCCTGCAAAAGGAGCTTTGGCCTGGGGTTCTGCTGTGCTGTCCCATTCTTTCACAGGAAATTGTCTCTCCCTCCTTTCCTCCCCCATAGTTCTTGGGAATGAAACCCCATTCCTTGTCCTGTTCTATCAAAATGAGCTGGGTGCCAGCAGCAGGATTTCTGCCCTGCCCACCTTTGTGCCCACAGGATGCTTCCCCCAGGATAAGGTGTAGTTACCACTTCCATGTTGTTGCTGGAGTCAGAGGGTCACAGGAGAATCTCTGTTGAACCCCAGGTCAGGGCTGTTTTTTTTACCAGCCTCTTGAGAGGGAACTTCTGACCCTTGTGCTGGTTTCTTCAGTAGCTCAGCTGCTCCAGGCAGGTCCTCCTGCATTTGCTACCTCTGAGGACAGTCCCCTGCTACCTTTTCAGAGTAACCCTTCAGTGAGGCACTTGTAGCTTTCCTGCAGGGAGCCAGTGCTGTTGGAAGTCCAGATGAGCACTTGGGAGTAGTAAAAATAATTTCCATTTATCATGATTTTTTTATGTCTCTGTGGTATTTACTACAGTGTACAAGTAATAATTCCTCTTCACATCCCATCTTCAGATGGTGTCACCAGCTGTAGCTTTGAAACTGCAGTGCTCCTGCTGTTGCAGCAAGTCTTTGTCATCTCCTGGGGTCTGCCACAGGGAATGTCCCCTTCCAGAATGAACAAGGAAACCCACAGATAATTCACAGAAGGCCACGGAAAGTTCTGAATATCCAGATGTTGTAGAAGCCAGTGAGCTGAACCCCCTAAGCAACAGCCCAGGCTGCAGAGTGGTGCCTCTTTAGGAAGAGAGCACATCCCTCCTCTAATTCCCATACACAGACTGGCACACGTGGAGTTATTAAAACTGGTCAAATCTGCAATGAAACTTGGAGATGAAAAGCTACAGTAGCTTGATAAGAAACACTGTATACCTGACACAGATCACCAGGATGTGCACAAATATAAGGTCGCATTATGCCATACCGGTTTGGTTTTTTTTACCCAACATGAAGGTTGAATTTGTCTTAGAAAGTGCTCATTAGAAAAATAATTATCCAGGAATTAATTAGTTCCATTAATATGTAACAAATTGCCCCTAAAATATCTGAGTTTCTCGTTATTGAAACTGTGGAAGGTGAAGAAATGCATCTTTGTTGTATTGTCCCCAGCTGTAATATTCCAGCCCCTCCTTCCCCTCTTTTCCTACCCTTTGTTTTTCCTTTGGGATGTGCTCCAGCACTTTCTGTATCACCACCTCCAGCGACTGATCCTGAATCCCTATGACTTGGGTTTGCCCTTCGGGGCACCGTTGGGCACCGTCACGCTGTATTCCAGATCTGGAGCGGTCTTGGAAAACGTGGCTATGGAAACCATGTCTTCCCCAGCGTCCACCTGCGACCTGCGCCTGCACAGGAGCAGCTTCTTGAGGGCGTGCTGGAAGTCCCTGTTGAGGAAGGCGTAGAGCAGGGGGTTGATGGTGGAGTTGCAGTAGCCCAGCCAGGTGATGATCTTGAAGGTGCCGAGCAGCACGGTGCTGGTGGAGTCGGTGCCTCTGGCTGCCAGCCAGACATTGAGCACGAAGTAGGGCAGCCAGCACAGCACGAACACGGAGATGATGATGCTGATGGTCCTCGTGGCCTTGTTCTCCAGCTGCAGGTGGTTCTGCCTCTTGCTGTTGGGGTGGTAGTGGATCTCCAGCGTCTGGGACATGATGCGCGTGGCCTTGAGGCGGGAGGCTCGGTAGATGAAGAAGTACATGCTGCACATGACCATGAAGGGAAGGAAAAAGGCCAGGGCGGAAGCCACGATGGCAAAAACCCAGTTGGTGACGAAGATGCATTCCCTGCCCGCATCAAAGTCCACCCCGGGGATCTCATTCCAGCCTTGCATGACAGGAAGGAAGGAAATGAGGGAGGAATAGACCCAGACCGTGCAGGTCATCACGATGCATCTGCAAAAGGAAAGAGATGCGGAGAGGAGGGAGGGCCTGAGTAATTTTGGATTGAGAACATCCAGTGCAATCCAATCCCCATGGTAACCTGTGTGGGATATCACTGCTGAGCAGTCCAGCAGGGCGTGGAGAAGGGAAAAAGCTGGACTATAACAAATTCAGACTTGCATACCTCTAACAATTGGGTAATTGATCTGTAGTTGACAAAATTGGGGTCAGCTCAAGGAGTGCTCAGAGCTGGCTGAGAAAAGATGAGGAAAGGTTTTGCAGAAGATGTTTGTTAGTATTTGAAGCAACAGCGTGTAGATATTTTTTCTTTCAGCTTTAGTATCTGGCCATTATCTCACCCCCTGGGGCCTGATGAGGATGGAGCTCATGGACACCACATGGCAGAATCTGCAAGGGGGGCCACAGATTGCCCTCCTCTCTTTGCCTGTGATCCACAAATCACACACAGCATGAGTGACAGTGGGAAAAACATGCCTGAACCCACCCTGTAAAGCACTCCACTGCTGCAGTGTGCTCTCTGCCCACCCTCAGATGACTTTCCTCACCCTGCAGTCCTCATTTCAGTCTTTCACATGAAACCCTCATGGGAACTCAGAAACTCTCCTTGTTTTCCCTGAATATCACTTCAGAAAAGATGATGAGTTTAAGAGAGGGAGGACTACAGCTGCATGGACCCTCTGGGTCTCCCTTCACCTAGGCCTCAGAAGTTCTTCAAAGTCCTTCCCCATCTCTGAAAATATTTAAGGCCAAGGCTTGAGCAACCTGGTCTAGTGGAAGGTGTCCCTGCTCACAGCAGGGGGATGGAACAAGGTCATTTTTAAGGTCCCTTCCAACCCAAGCCATTCTGTGATTCTGTGACATTCCTGTGAAACGACTGCACAGGGAAAAACCTGTAGGTCCAACTCAGCCCGTATCACTGGTTTGTTTCTACCCCATTTTGCAACCCTTCCTTAGCTCTAAAAATATTCTCCCAGGAGCCTCAGCTGCATCCTCCTTGTCCTCTCCTACACCATGTTAAGCATTTAATGCAGTTTTAAATGGTGAAAGTTCCTTTCTCCACATCCCTCTGCTCATTCAGCTCATTCAGCCTCAGATCAGTGTAGGCCATGGCCAAGTGACAGCCTGGAGGGACCCCAAGGGAGGAGCAGCTGCACTCACCTGCCCCGGGACATCCTCCTGGAGTAGTGGTAGGGGGTGACCACGGAGCAGTACCTGTCCAGGCTGATGAAGCACAGCGTGACGATGGACGCGGTGCAGAACATGACATCGAAGGAGATCCAGACTTTGCAGAACAGCTTCCCAAAGAGCCACATCCCCGTCACCTCGTAGATGATGCTGGGAGAGGAAACAGGTGGAAATGAGAGCTGGAGGGGCTCTTTGTGCCGTCCCTGCAGGTGTATGAGGCCAGGCTGGGTGAGCAACAAAAAAAGGAGCACCCCACACCTAAAGCATGACTGAACAAGAGCAAAGCTGTGCTTCTTGCAGCCCAAGGGCATTGAGAGAGGTGCTTTGCCCCACAAAACTCCCCAAATTTACATCTGCACAGCTTGTTTATCACAGCATTCTTCCAGTGCCTGACACAGCACACTCTTTTATGATTTCTCCCCAATTTCTGGGTGAAACATTCATATTTTTTGAGAAATCCCTTTGCCCAGGATTTTTCTTCTGGGAAGCTGAGAAGCCTCAGAGAAAAAGGAAAACAATATTATCTCATTTGCTTCTCCTGTGTTTTGCTCCTTTGGAATGTGTTTGGAGATTGTTTCATTGGATTCTGCTGTGAGTTGTTTTCACTCTTTGGCCAGTCAGGGCCAAGCTGTGTCAGGGCTCTGGAAGGAGTCACAAGTTTTCATTATTATCTTTTTAGCCTTCTCTAAGTATCCTTTCTGTATTCTTTAGTATCATTTACTATAGTATTCTTTAATATAATATAGTATCATAAAATAATAAATTAACCTTCTGAGAACATGGGAGTCAGATTCATCATTCCTTCCTTCATCGGGGCACCCCACAAATACAATTCCTGGGGCATGGGACATCTCCAAGAAACTCACTTCACATCCAATCAAATGCTTCAAAACCAGGAAGGATTTCCACTCTTGGTTAAAAAAAATACAAAATAACAACATCCTAGGAGGAAGCCCATGCAGCTTGTACATAATGTGGCTCATAAATGCCTCAGCAAGGTAAACACACCAGCAAAAACAGACACAGTACCAAAAATATTTCTAACAAAGTCAAGAGGGGCCTGTGAGAAGTGAGCAGTGAAGGAAGGAACATATGGCAGCTGTAGGAAGGCAGATGCATGTTCCTGTAGCATTCAGTGAGATGCCATTTGCTTCTTTCTTTCTCCAGCTTTCTGCAACTCCCAAGGTGCTGCTGAAATCACCATTGTGGGTGAATTTGATGAGTAATTCCCTAGTCCTGCAAAGCTTTAATTATCCTGTAACTTCTCAGCTTGCTGGTAAAATACAGTGAGCTCAGGGCTGCTGAGCTGCAGTGCTCAGGTGTCCAGCAAAGGGGAAAGATTCAACCTGATGTCAGGAAACAGTGCCTGAGCTACATCTCATCACACCAGTTCACTAAATCGATTTGTGAAGGCTGTTCCAGAGCACAGCAACTGCTGTAGGTGGGGGCAGTGCTGCTGAAGGGTCCCAGCCCTCAGCAGCTCTTTGTTACGTGGGATTCCATGCAAAAATTCCAAGCAAACTACAGCAGAGCCTGTCCCTCCACCATGGGCAGCATGGAGGATCCCACAGCATACTCATGGAAAGGTTTCATGGCTCTTTTACAGAGGGGAAATGAGGCATTAGAATTGGAGCACGGGTTCAGCTCTGCACTTGGGTGCTGTTTGGCCATTCCTCAGAGCCCTCCTTACCCCCAGAGATGCTGCAGAGCTGTGGTGTGCCCTGCTCTCCCAGAGGGAGATGTGCTGCACACGGATCCCAGGTGAGCAGGTGCCCAGTTCTCACCTGCACACATCTGGTGGGGTGCACCTGACCTGCAGATGTCTCACAGCACGAGGTAATGGACACCTGACCCCTCTTCTCTCAGGTAAAAAGTCTCTGCAGCTTGGAAATGCTGCTGGATAAGAAGGAGTAGTAAAAGCCAAAAAATCCCGCACAATGAAGTCACCCCTGCCTTGCCCTTTTGCTTGCAGTGGAAAAGAATAGCTGGAAATATTCAGCCTGGAAATCACAGACTGGCTGGAGTACTCAGACAACAAGCTGAGCTCAGCTGAACCACCCCTGCAAACCAGTCAAGCCAAGAACAAAAGAAAACTCTCATTCTTATGAAATTAAGACAACAAGGACAAATTTGTTTTTCCCTTCTGCCACATTTTCCTGAGCCAAACTGCCTCCTGAGATCAATTTTTTTCCCTCCCTTTGGCACGTAATAACCTGCCAGCTGAGGAGCAAACTGAAACCCAAAAGAGCAGCACAGATGTGAAGCCAAAACAGTGGGGAAGTGTGAAACAGCAGCCACTGTGCTGGCAGGGCTGGACAAGGCTGGTGGAGCCAGCAGGGCCCATCCCTCAGGAATGGCCCACCAGGAGCTGGCAGGTTTTCCACCAGGCAGCACCAGGACACTCAGGAGGGGCACAAAGCACCAGCCATGCTCTCACATTTGCTCCCCTTTGTAATTTTTTGTTGCTTAAGTAAAACATCACTAAAAGTAGATTCAAAATAGATAGGAGAAAGAAATTTATTTTTTTTTACAGTGAGGATGCTCAGAGATGCTGTGTCTACTCCATCCCTGGAAGTGTTCAAAGCCAGGTTGGATGGAGCTCTGAACAACATGGTGCAGCTGCCTGTGTCCCTGCTCAGTGCAGGGGTTGGGTTAGATGACCCCTAAAGGCCCCTGCCAACCCAAACCACACTATGGTTCTATAATTTCAGAGCTTGAACTTTAAATTCCTTGAGCATAGAATTTAAGTCAGTAGTAAAATTCTTTCTACAAGAACATCATTAACTGCTTTTTTTTTTCCACCTGATACCATGAACTTTTAACTCAGTTTATAATTGCTTGTTGGGACAATATTTTTCAGTGCCAAATTCAAAGGAATAGGCAGCCCAATGAGAACTGAAGCATAGAACATGAAAACAATTCAGCTTCCTCATGCTGCCCCATGAACTCAAAACAGTCTGCAGCTCCCTGATTTACACAAACCTCTGGCTGCTTTGCAGGACAAGACAGCCAGGACCACAAGCCAGCTGCTTTCTGCTTTTGTTTCACTGTTTTATCCAGCTCCCATACATATAAACCTCATGCAGGGACACCTGCCCGCTCAAGAGCCTTTTCCTCCATGAAATGTGGGGGAAGCCTAAATTACTCTGCTTATCCTGAATAAGCTCCTTACATTCCATATGCAGGGAAGAGATGTGGGGGAAGCCTAAATTGCTTATCCTGAATAAGCTCCTTACATTCCATGTGCAGGGAAGAGGGAGCAAGGACTGGAGCTCCACACACAGAGCTGGAAATCAAGTTCAGATGAGCAGCCAGGGTCCCTGTGTGTCCAGCAGGAAAAAGACCCTTGGGAATTGTGTCTCCATGCATGATAAGGGATGATAACACAGAGCAGAGACAGGGAAGCACATACAGCCACCAGCCCTTTGCAGAGCCCAGCCCTGAGCCCAGCAGGTGAACCCCAGCCCTGCCCCAAGAGCAGGGAGAAAGGACATCTGTCCTCCTGTGCTCCCACCCCACAGACACTCCTCACCTGAAGGGCATCACCAGACAGGCCACGAGGAAGTCTGCCATGGCCAGGGACATGATGAACATGTAGGTGACAGTGCGCAGCCTCTTCTCCACCACGGGGCAGAGGAACACCACGGTGTTTCCCAGCAGTGTCACCACGTCGATGAGGGTGAGGACCAGCCCCACCAGCACCTCCTGGAGCCCAACCCCTCCCCTTGCAAAGGAGGAGGCAGCAGAGGAGAAATTAGAGAGCCAGGATTCATTCCTGTCCGTCAGCATCTTCCCACTGTTAAAATCTGAATGAGACAAAAGGGGAGAAGAAGAATTACTTCAATGATGATTTGTAGGTGGGTGAAAGGGGGGATGGAAATAATATTTTGCTTCATTTTCTCCAGGAAAAATCCACATACCCTGCTGTGCCTGTGTCCTGGGTTAGCAGCCCATTAGAAGTGTCTGAAATCCTCCGGGTAGGATAAATGTAAAGCATTGACTGAAGTCCTTCACAGCAATTAAAAGCCCTCCTGTGAATGAAAATGCATCATCAGATGAAGCATGAGACCAGAAAAAAAAATAGAAATGTACTGAGAGCAGAGAGAGGAAAAGAAAACAACAGAAATCAAAAATTAAAGCAGCTGGGCTAAATCCCACTGAACAGCATGCCAAGTCCACATAATGTGGGGGCTGGAACTAGATGATCTTTAAGGTCCTTTCCAACCTAAACCATTCTGTGGCTCTATATCCTCATTACCATCCTTGCCACCCCCAGACCAGCTGGGGCTGCTTGCCCAGCCTGGCTGCTTCCACAGCCCCACTGTTCAGCCTGTGCTGTGCCCTGGGCTGTCCTGGTGCTTTTTCAGACTCTGAAGTTCAGGGGTTTTTTACTACCACAGTGGGCAGCTCCATCCCCCAGCCTGAATGGCCAAGCAGGGCTGCCAGCAGCTCCACAGGGAGCAGAATCATGGGATCACAGAGTTATTTGGGCTGGAGGATGATCACATTGAGGTGCCTCAGGTGCAGCCCTGACCCCAGAGTCAGATTCCCTCTGGGCCAGATGGGAGTGATGCTCCCAACTCCTTAATTGGGGATTTTTCTGTGAGGAAATCCACATGCTTGGGTCCAGAGCTCAGTTCCCAGACTCTACAAATCTGGGAAGGTGGGAATGATGCCCTGCACAAACTCCAGCAGTTCAAAGCTCACTGGTGTAGCTGAGGGAACACAAAGACAAAACTGTCTTTGGGGGAAAAAAGAATTACAGAAATGTTTCCTGATGACAAATTGTTATATTTAAATATCATCCCTTCTCCTGTGAGCAGGATCTGCTTCCACAGTACCCTCAGGTCAATCCCACATCTCCAGGGCATCCTGCTGAGTGCAGTGTGAGGGTGGGCCTGGATAACATCCCTGTAGCCCAACTTGCCTGACCTCACAGGGGCCAAACTTTGTCTTAGGAGGGGTGTAAGAGCAAGGCAGCTAAAAGTTCCCAACATCTCTTTGTCCTTCCTGCAGCCTATGGTCCAGAATTGCCTCTTAAGGTGTTTTCAGTGATTTCTGAATCATGAAATTGTCCTACCTCTCTGGCCCAGCAAACTTTTAGCACCCATCACCTCCTATAGCAACAACTTCCACGGCTCAGCTCTGCACCAGCAGAGAAACCTCTCTGTGCTTGTTCTGAGCCTGCCCCAGCCAGCTGCATTGGGTGCCTCTGGTCCTTGCCTTGGAAGAGACACCACAGCCCATCCCCACCCTGCGTGCCACTGCTGGGCTCCTCAGCCTCTGTCACACCCACCAGCTCCCTCCTCACCTGCTCATTCCTCACTGGGAAGCAGCAGAGGATTCCTGCCCATCCCTCCTGCTCCTCTGAGAAGGACCAGAGCTCCAAACAAGCTCCAAGAGGTAAATGCTCTGTGGATTTGCCTAAGGGCATGATCTGCTCTGTCCTGCTCCCCTGTCACCACCATCCTGACATGATTTGCTCAGTGAGTGGCACTGAGCTGCCCTTTCCCCTGGGCTGTGGCCATCCCAAGGTTCTGTTCCTGGGCAGCAGCAAGAGCTCAGAGTCCACTGCTTTAGATGGGAAAATAGCATGAAATGAGGACATTGAGTTCTCTTCATCTTTTCAAAACCCCATCACTTCAGAGATTAATTCCTTCTTCCACTGTAATACTCAATGAATCTCATAAAAACTTTTTTGCACTTCATTAAGTCAGACGTTTTCCTTCCTGCCCTGGTTAAACTTTCTTTAGCCTGTAAATATCACCATTTCATGATTCACAGACTCTAGAACCCCACATATCCCAACCCCTATCCCTGTAAAGAGCATCCCTGACCTCTCTGTAACTCCTCTCATGCACTTTCCCCTCCTGCATGTCACCTTTCAGACAAGTATTTTAATGTGGGAAATGAATATGTAGATTTCTACAAATCCATTTCCCACATTTTTTTTTTCACACAGGGAACTTCCTTCTTAACTCAGGACTATTACATTTCCTTAAAAGCCCCCACCATGAAGGACTATATTGAAAACTTTCCAGAATTCCAAGCAGCCTACTTTCTTTTCCACCTGCTGACTTCTTCCAAGCATTCCTACACAACTGTGAAGCTGGGCTGCGTTTTCTGAAAGCAGCAGTGACTTTGTCTTTGGATGTAATTGTCTGCTCATGCACCTACCCATCCTTCAAAATCCTCAGCTCCATCCCCTCACTTCTGTTTATTTGCTAGATGTAGTGGCTTCCTTTCTTGCAAGTAAAAACTTTTAAAAATTAAAAATAAAATTAAAAGAAGACTCAAGCTCTCTAGGAAAGAAAAAATAAAGAAGGAAAGCTCTTCCTCACTGGAGCTGGGAGCCACTGGCTGAAACCTGAAGCTCTCCTGCTCCTCCAGCACTGAGAACAAGCAGGTTTTTTGGACATCAAATCAGGCAGCCCCCTGGGCCAGCACTGCTAAAAGTCTGCAGGGTGTCTTAAGTTCCTCAGTCCTAATGAAAATGCTCCTTGGACAGCATTCCACATCCTGGTAACACCCCATAAAAAAAACCAAAATAAAATAAAAAATCCAGTCTCCAGCTCTCCCATAATTGCCAGGAAAGAGGAGAATCTGTGCCATTCTTTCTAACAGCTCCTCTGAGGATGTCATCAGGCTGGATGAGCTCCTGTGGAACAGTTGGGTTTCAATGCAGCCACATCTCCTGGCAGAAGGAATTGTTCAGGCTGTTCTCCTCCCTGTGTGCTCCACACAGACAGCTCGGGGACAGTGGGATGGGAAATCCACAGGGACATGGGTGGGAAATCCACAGGGACATGGGTGGGAAATCCACAGGGACATGGGTGGGAAATCCACAGGGACATGGCACGTGGCCACACAGGAGCCAGGCTCCAGAACCCGCCTCTGCAAGGGCCGTTCCCTGCTCCACAGCCATCCTCCATCTCATCTCCCACACCTGCTGGTGTCCTCACACCTCTGGTACCTCTACAGGATCTGGAAAATGCCCTCTGACCCCACCTCAAGTTGATCCCTGACCAGTTCAAACACTTGAGCACCACCCAGTGAACCCCTAAAGCCCATCCAGCATTAGGATAGGCTCCTAAGACATGAACAGCAAAAAATCAAGTTTGATGAAAAATCATTTTTTTAAAGGAAAAAAACCAAACTATGTCTAATTTTAAAGCTTAAAATATTCGGTCTTCAGGTTTTAAAAAAGCACTGTCAAATTTTTGTTCACGGGTAGATGAGATTGATAGATGAGAATTCTGGATTAATTATTTGGGTTTTTTTTAGATGAGACAAGAGGGTTTTGAAGTTGCACCTTCCTGCAAAGAACGACTGTTCCCACACAGTCATTAAGTTTGTATCAGTGTTAGAACGACTCCAATTAAAGCAGATCATTACTCACATTGCTCTGTGAACACACACCACTCTCAGACTTCGAGCAGAATTAGGACAAGGTTATTAGAATTAGTCTTTGTGAGCTCTTTGTGCTCCTCAAGTCCATCTCAGCCACCAGCCTGGGTTCAAAGGTCTTCTCCAGTGGAAAACTCACAGCAGCATTATCCTTAATGCAGGACACACACAGGAGTATGACAGTGCACAAAAGCAGCAGACAGATGTGCCCACACTCACAAAACACCAGAGAAACACTCTTGTCTTTTTTTTTTTTTTTCTTTTTTTATCAACAAAAGGCTGAGGGACTGGAAATAAGCCTGTCCTTATTTGACATCCATCTCTCCAACAATAAAAACAAGGGATGATGGGTTCTTGAAACTTCAGGTTTGCACCTTGAGCTCTAACTCAGAGTGCAGACAACAGGATCCTGCTGCCCCCGATCCCTTTCAAGAATCCCCTGGCAGAGTCCCTGGAATCTCATCCACAGTCCCTGTCACAGCCCAGGGTGGATCTCTGGATCCTTTTGCCTCTGACTGAGAAGCCCACCTTTACCCAAAGTGTGCTAAATTAAGTAAGTTAACTAAGAAGTGCTGCTCTCAAACTGCCTGGAGAATTGTCAACACGGGGAAGCAGGGGGTGATGCCATCTTAACCTCTCTGTGGAAATCATTGGGACAAATCAGGGCATGCCATCTTTCCCAGGGATGCACTTCCTCAGCTTAAAATATTGGAGCTTTAAAATACTCCTGTGAGCTGCAGCAGCCCATGTGGCTACACTGCTGAGACAGCCCAGTCTTTCTGCAACATCAGTCCTGCAGTCTTCCCTGTAGGAGCCCTCTTAAACCAGAGGGAAAAATGCCCAATTGTACCAGGATATGGGATCTTCCCAGGTTTCCTGGGGATCTCAGGGGTTTGCAGTGAACTTTTTTGGATATCATAATTTTACTTCCTTTAAAAAAACTGATGGGTAGGATTCTGCTCTGAGGCTGCCTGAGCAAAGAAACTCCACTGTTTCTCTTCCCCTTTAATATCCAGAAAGTTTGATCTAATTTGTTCAGCAGATAAATCCCAAGCTAAAGGTTAATTTCATCAGTAAAAGGCATATTTTGACGGCAAGGGAGGGGGGAAAAAAAAGCTCTGCAATCTCAAAGCTGACTGCACTTTAAAATCTTAGAGGAATTATGAAAACTGGAAATGCATTACTGGGAATTATTTGCTGTTCTCTGCCGAATCAGGCACAAACCAGCACACGGCAGCAGGGAACAATGCCTGCCCCAGGACCTCGCACACCTTTCCCTCCTCCTCCCCATGAGAAAACTGCAGCAGCTCAGTGATTTTTGAACAGAGCGAGCGATTTGTCGAGCTGTGGAAGGCTGTGGGTGGTGATACAGGAGGGGGAGAATGCCTGGGGATGCTTCCACCGGCACAACACGCACTCGAGGCAGCGAGCGAGCCCCGGCGCTGACTTTCCTTCCCTCTCTCCCCCTCTATCCAACTTCCCCGCTGGAAGGACAGCGTTTCTCAGGGCACGATTTCTTTCCACCCCCAAACCTGCGCTCCTACATCCTCTCGGAGAGCCGCGGGGCTGGGAACTGTGGGAATCTATAAAATCAGAGGGTTTTGGGAAAGCTGTGAAAGGCAGGTCTGCCGGCGGTAGGAACAGAGTGAAACACGACATCCTTACCCTCCAAAGTGTCGGCAGAAGCAGCCCAGAGGTGCCCCCGAGCCCGGAGCGTGTTTGCCCAGCTGCGGGCACCGGGGCTGGGATCCCGGATCCCTCCCCAGGGAGCTGCTCCCAGCCTGGCTGCCTGAGGAGGATGGTTCCTGCCCCGAAGCGGGACAAAACCCTCATCCACAGCGTTTGGGATCCCCCCGGCACACGGGGACGATCCTGCACGGCCACAGCAGGTCTGGCAGCCCCGGGGACAGAGGAGGGACCGGGGCGACATCGCAGCAGCAAAACTCAAGGCGAGGTGAAACCCGCGCTGCAAACACCGGGGTGCTCACCCGGGAGGTCAGCAGCTGAGCCGGGGTGCCAAAACCCCAAACCCTGGGGTGCCAAACCCCAAACCCTGGGGTGACAAAACCCCAAACCCTGGGGTGCCAAAACCCAGCCCCTGGGGTGCCAAAACCCCAAACCCTGGGGTGCCAAAACCCCAAACCCTGGGGTGCCAAAACCCAAACCCTGGGGTGCCAAAACCCAGCCCCTGGGGAGGCAAACCCCTCACTCTCTGGGGAGCAAAACCCCCAACCCTTGGAGTATAAAAACCCCAACCCCTGGGGTACAAACATCCCAACCCCTGGGGTGCAAAAACCCCAAACCCTGCGGTGCAAAGCACCAAACCCTTGAGTGCAAAGACACTACAACCGGGGCGCAAATCCACAGCCCCGGGGTGCCAAATCCACCCTCCCTGGGGTCAAACCCGCCACACCTCTGGGGGCAAAACCCCCAACCCCCGGGGCAGCAAAACCCCCGGCCCCAGGGAGGGCAAAACGCCGAGGATGCTGCGGAGAACATCTGCATCAGCCCGGGGAGGGGCTGGGGTCCTGCCCGAGGAGGGGATCTGTCTTGGAGGTGGGGAATAAGAAGGAGGAACTCTTCCCGAGGTGTTTGAAGGGGGTCTGTCCTTTGGACAGAGGGTTCAGGACGTGCCTGGGGTAGCCTGCAGCAGAGGGGGTCCCACCCGGAGCGGGGAGCGGCGCCCGGGGGGAGCCCTGGCCGGTGTCAGGATGTGCCCGGGGATGGCGGTGAGGATGAGGATGGGGATTCCGCCGGCAGCACTTACCGAGGCAGGCGGAGGAGCCGCCCCCTCTCTCCTCCGCCCCGCAGCGCCCGCCGCTCCCGCTCCAGCCGGGAATCCTTCCTTCCTTCCCTCCGGGAAACGCTGCTCCCTGTCCTCCTGCTTCCCAGCCAGCCCTTCCCACTCCCCCTCGGCAGCCGCGGGCGCACGGCGACCTGATGCGTGAAAACAGCAATAAAAAAAAAATACAAGAGGCGTTCCGTGGGTTTGGCTCATAAACCAGGCGGAAAAATCCGAAAAACGCCGGGCTGGAAGAGGAACCTGCGGCGGGATGTCACCCGGCCAGCCGCGCTGTGCCTCGTCCCCGAGGCTGGGAGGGCTGGGCTGGGTTTGGGGAGCTGGCAGAGGGTTCTTTAGGGATATCCATGGGATAGCCTGGCTGAGCTGGCCTGGGCAGGACCGGCCCCGTTCCCAGCTCCGGGAGCTCAGCCAAGAAAAGGAGCCCGGCGAGAGGAGTGTGAAAATCATCGGGTTCTTTGAGTGCTGGGGTGAGTGCCGCACACCAAGGAGGGAGGGTGTAACCCTCGGACACAGCTCCTGTCCCAAAACAACCCCCAAATCCCGCTCAAAGGCATCGGCTCCTCACGCTGAATTGCTGTCACTGGCATGCCGGGCTCCTTTTCCATTTGTTTTCCAAAGATTTTTGCAAAGGGTTTGAAAGCTGGCTTCACCCACCACCAAAAATGACACTGGAGAATTTTTTCATTGGGTTTTTCAATGGATTTCTGAAATCTCTTGATCAGGGTTGGTGGAAAGTAAAGAAACTCAGATTTACTGTTCTCTCCCTGGAACAGTTCAGCTCCTGGCTGGCAATTGGCCTCTCAAGGTTTCAGGCTTGTCTGTGACATTAACACCCAAACTGTGATGCAAGAGCATGTTTGGGTCATTTTGTGTCATACTTATTGCTTCAGAAATAGTGGATTGCCCTTTGAACATAATAAAATCTTTAATTTAAAATACTTTAAATTATGGAGTTTCCACCCCAGGAGGGAGAGGGAGAAAAGAAAAAAGAAGAGAAGAGAAGAGAAGAGAAGAGAAGAGAAGAGAAGAGAAGAGAAGAGAAGAGAAGAGAAGAGAAGAGAAGAGAAGAGAAAAAGAATTATGACACTGCCAAACATACTCTAATCCCTGTATTTTCCTTTAATATGAACAAAATATTTTCTATAAAGCAGGAGAAATAAGTAATGTGTGAACCAGAGTTTTCTGTGAAGTTAGAGTGATTCCATTACTTTAGTCAAAAAAAGCTTCCATGTGTTTCTGAAAAAATCAGCGTTGACAACTTTGATGTAAATAATTTAAATTATTGTGTTTAAAGTTGTCTTCTAATTTACATTTAATTTTTAAAAGTTTTAATAAAACTTGAAATCTGAGCAAGATATTTTATTTCTGATAAAAAAAAAAAAATTTTCAAACCTGAAGAAAAGGTTCACCGGCCTCTTTGAAAGCTGAGCTCTTGAAGCCACTTTTTCATCTCCTTCTCACTCCATTAATGCCACTGAACCAAACAGGAGCATCTGACCAGGGAAGATAAGTAAAGGGGTAGAAGTTTTATTTAAAAGCTTATACCAAGGTCTTTTATTTCTCCATTTGCTGACAAACAAACATCAACAAATAGAATTAAAGCATATATATTATATACACGTTTTATATAAATTATATTTTGTGTCATATTAATATATTAAAAGTATAATAAATATATTAAATTGCAGAAACAAGAAAAAACTTGTGATTCTTAATAACATCTAGTTTATGGGGGGGTTGGTTTTTTTTGTTTGTTTGTTTGTTTTTGTATTTGTTTTTTTGGTTGGTTGGGGTTTTTTTTTGACAGAACCTTCCAAAAGCATACTTTTTCATAGACCCATGGAATCACAGAATGGACCTTTCAAGGTCACGTAGTTCCAATACCCCTGCCATGGACAGGGACCCCAAATCCTTTTTGTCAGGGCTGCTCCTGGTCTGTTCATCCCCCAGCCTGGACTGACAATGGGGTTGCATCCACCCAGGTTCAGCACCTTGCCTTGCCAACACCCCCTTCTCCTTTATTTCCCTTGAATTCAGAGTAAAAAACCAGTCCAAAACTCCCAAGGGAAGCTGCCTCTTTCCCTAATTAGCGTTAATTGCCCGTTCCTGGGGGTGGGAGGGGTCTGTGCCACGTCTGTGGTACCAGAGGGTGGCACAGCTGGGTCCTGGCTTTCCTTTGGCTGGGCCCTTCTTTGTCCCCCTGGGTTCCAGGCAGGCTGTCAGGCTCCAGTAATTGAGTTTTTATGGAGTAGAGAATAATAGCAAAGGCCTGCAGCTCTTCCAAAGCACCAATCTCAAAAGAAATGACAAAGGAGAGAGCAAAACAGCCAGAAGAAGTGGTCTGGACAGAGTGCTGCAAATGCTGTGTCAGCCACTCACATTAATGTGAGCAATTCACCTGTCACAAACCATCAGAAAAAAAAACAACATTACAAAATGTAACATTTACTGGAAATTCAAGGATATTGTCAAGCAGGGATTCCTGAGATTTCTTCTCATGGGTTCTGGGGTTCTGGTTTTACAGTATATTTTCATTATATTTACATTATATTTTCAGTGCTACCTGGAAATAAAGGAATAAGGGAAAATGGAGTTTATTTAGCTTCCTGACCTTTACAACAAGAAGGGTAATAGGAAATGTACATTTCAGAGCCTTTTGTATATCAAAAATAGGTTGATCTTAAAAAAATTGAGAAGTAGTAGAGCTGTTTATGCAGACACCGAGGTACAGCTCCTTAAACTGGCAGATAAGGTGGTGCAGGGAATACTCAGGAATGGTTTGAGTCTTCATTTATACTCAGTGGCCACTTGGACAGCATTGTTAAATCCCTTGGGAAGGAGGGAAGGAGGAAAGGAGCTCAGGCCAAGTTGCCAAGTAGGACTCAAGGAAACTTTGTGGGTCTTGGACCTCATGGTTCAGCAGTGGAGATGCTGCTGTGGCAGGTGATAACCCCACCATGCACAGAGATTTACAGAATGCACAGAGAATGATGGATAAAATAGACCTGTAATTCAGATGGCATGGGGCAAATCGGCCCATAGGAGTGGCAGCTTTGGTGTTTTCCTTTGCCTCCTGAGGGGAGCCTGTCCTGACAGCACTGCCTCTTCTCCAGCCCCTCCTGAAGGCAGCAGCCTGCTCTGGCACGCTGCACTCGGGCTCTGCTCTGTGCCAGGCTGCTCTGGCACCCTCACTCCATCCCTGTGGAAGTTCCTGAGTCACCAGCCAGGCAGGGAAGCTCCCCGGACACACCATCCCTGGTTTTGCTTTGTCAATATCTTATGTGCTGCAGTGTCTGAGGCACTCCTTGTGCTTGATGAATTCTACCTGACAAATTCTCTCTCTCTCTTCCTTCATCAGGCCCCATATATTTATATTTTCTTTTTCAGGTGGGATCTGTAATCTTCCTGCTTTGACATAATCACTCCTGAAATGATTGCTTCTGTTGCCTGTGGGAGGCTCAGCTGTTCTGTGCTGCTTCCACTTCCCCCTCAGACCCCAAAAGGGGTTTCTCTTCTTCCCAATGGGTATCTAGGGGGTATACACCCCTCATTTTTTCTGTCTGAACAATATACAATTGATATTCTGGAAATAAATAATACAACTATTCCCACTACTTTCCAACAATGTTTATGCTGGTACACTTTTAACCCTGCAAATACCTCCACGTCTCTGGGTGTGCCTCAGCTGAACAGCAGCATGTGTCACACTGCTGAAAAATTAGCATTCTCCCTGCTATCAAGGGAAATGGAGAGACTCAAAACATTCTTGGTGAAATCCATGGGAATTACTGGAGCCTGAGATAGTTTATTAGATATTTATTATCATCACAACCATGAATTCGAGGCAGTAAGATGGATATGCAGTTATAGAATAATAGAAAAAATAAAAGAAAAAAAACCTCAAAAATTTAAGCTGGCTCATGAGAGCTGGTGTTTGTACATATCAAGAATTTTGTAGGGATATGCTCGGTGGTTCTGGTCTTAAGGGCAATTTGGGGTCATAGGATCAATCCCACTTGGAGAGGAAGGAGAGCAATCACACTTTAAATCTTCAGAACCGAAACCCTGAAATGCTGTGGGCATCTCCAGCCCAGTGTGGATTCAGCCCAGTCTCTTTTGGTGCCCAGGATGCAGATGTGACCCCTGGCATGGAGCAGGGCACTGGACCCAGCCCAGTGTGGATTCAGCCCAGTCTCTTTTGGTGCCCAGGATGCAGATGTGACCCCTGGCACGGAGCAGGGCACTGCTCAGGACCAGCCTGTGACTCCTCTGAAGCTGCTTGTCTGTAGTTTCAAGGTGACCCCCAGCCAGGGAATACCATGCAATGACTCCAGTGATTCAGAAGGCTGAACAAATGCTTTATTAAGCTATACTATATTACACTACATACTATACTAATACTGTACTAAACTATATTACACTAATACTAAATAATACTACTAAAGAAAAACCCGTGACCCTTACCAGACAGTCACAACACAGCTTTGGCTAATTGGCCAATCAGTCCAAACAACCATCACCAGAGTCCAATTAACAAATGACTCTTCAGTAAACAATCTCCATAACACACTCCCCATGTGCCAAACAACAGGAGCAGCAAATAGAGATTAGAATTGTTTCCTCTTCTCTCTCTGAGCTTTCTCACTACCTTCCTCAGGAAAAATCCTGGAAGAGAGAAATATGTCTCTCTCTGTTCAGAGAGTATGTGAATACCACACATGATGATTGCAAATTAGTTCCAAAATCTTTTTTCTGTCACTCCCCATGAGTTTCCCATTGGTGCAAAGCAGCCATGTGTGTTTGCCAGGGGGACATCTGGTCACTGTCCCCAGAACTCTGCTGATAGAGGCTGTAGGTACTGAACTGAGTTAATCAGTACATGAAGTTTTGTGTCCAGATTCTGCTCTGTCATGGATTTTCCCTTCAGCTAGAGGAGAGTTTGAGGCTCATAAGCTCTAAAAGCACATCCAGACAAAGAAATGGCCCAGCTCTGCCTCATGACTTGCAATGGTAACAGCTCCTGAGAGCTCTTGAATGTTGGAGCTGTTCTCTGCAGCTTCACTTCAGCCACACTCTGGTGTCACTTCATGGAGGAGGGAGCAATTCCAGCTGAACCTTCACCACTGTTTGAGGAGATTGGGCATTTCATCCCAGAGAGGGATAATGGATCTGATACTGCCAGAGCACTGTCCTCTCACAGCAGCTCATAACCCAACAGGGAGATATCCTGTAATTCAAGCATGTGGCATTCTCTGAAAAAATCCCTTTGCCCAGGATTTTTCTCCTGGGAAGATGAGAGATCTCTGAGAAAAAGGAAAACAATAATTATCTCATTTGCTTCTCCTGTGTTGTGCTCATATATGGAGTATGTTTAGAGATTGTTTACCCACAGGTGATTGTTTCATTGGATTCTGCTGTGAGTTGTTTTCGCTGTTTGGCCAACCAGTGCCATGAGTTTACAATCAGTGCCAGGCTGTGTCGGGACTCTGGAAAGAGTCACAAGTTTTCATTAATATCTTTTTAACATTGAGTAAGTATCCTTTCTGTATTCTTTAGTATGGTATAGTATTCTTTAATATAGTATTATAATATAATAAATTAGCCTTCTGAGAACACGGAGTCAGATGCATCATTCCTGCCTTTGTTGGGGCTTCCCTGCAAAAACAATACAAGCAGAGGTA